CCGGGAACTCACAGAGACTTTAAGCCCTTTGAACATAGGGACAGAGCTGTATTGTGTTTCTATAATACAAGCACAAAGTTAATGCAACTTTTATAAATACTTGTTGAAGAAATGGATAAATTTCAGTGCCATGAAGCATTACTTTTCCTTCTGCTCCATCTCTTTATTGGGACTTTTGTGCAAAGCATAGGGCTGAAGGGATGTGCAGGTAGAGCGAAGTCAAGTTGCTTCCTCCAAAACCTAGATCCCATACTTTGATTTTACATAGTGGATGCATTTCTGAATGACATTTTGAATTGGGTATATTAGATTTTGCTAATATCAACTCCCTTTACTCATAGAGATTATTTTTAATGATGTTTAAATGTTTTGTACTATGAGGTGAAAATATTTTGCTTATTTCAAGAATCTTTGTGCATTCTTTCTGTAGTAAAGTGCATTATCAACATGGTAAGTTTATTTGGAGGTCTGCTTAAAATGGGGCACACCAGTACTAACAATGACTAATTTGCACACCATGTGGAGTTAGATGGCTATTTGACATACCATTTTTTTGGTCCCTTTGCTCCCACAGCACCTGCTTCAACCAGAGGCAGTGTCCTGACCCTCAATGACCCCTTTGCCATGGCGACCGCAGGGCATCTACTACCTGAGGCCTTGGCAGTCAGCCCGGTGTTGACCTTCCCAAGAGGACGGCAACCCTGCCAAATGGCATCAGGGGCGGGGTCCCGCCAGCAGAGGCAGGGCAGGGAGGCACACGGGGAGAGCTTGCAGGCAGCCAGCTGAACCCAACAGGGTTCCTTCCCTCCTCCTCTCCTCTCCTCCAGTGCCAGCGGCCTCAGAGGGTGGGGAGCCTGAGGTGCAGGTCCTGGCTGGGCAGGCGGGCACCTCTTCCCAGGGTTTTGGAGGGTGTTGGGGGCTGGAAAGTAAGAAGGCTGCCCCCGCCCCCACTGCTGTGTGGGACATTGTGAAGGAGGGGGAGCCCCGGGGCCCTGCAGCTCGCAGCCATGAGTCACCTGACTTTCTGCAGCAGTACCTCCAGTCAGCACTGAGGACATTGGGCAAGCTGGAGGAGGAACACATGGTAATCAGTCTAGTGAGAGACACTGCCTAGCCCAGTGGTTCTCAACCTTCCTAATGCTGCGACCCTTTAATACAGTTCCTCATGTTGTGGTGATGCCTCAATTTCAATGTTACAAATTGAACATAATTAAAGCATAGTGATTAATCACAAAAACAATATGTAATTATATATGTGTTTTCTGATGGTCTTAGGCGACCCCTTTGAATGGGTCATTCAACCCCCAAAGGGGTCGCGACCCACAGGTTGAGAACCTTCAGGGAATTATGCTAAATGAAATAAGTCAGACAAAGACTTATTTGTGATATAATTTATATGTGGACTCATAAAAACAAAGAGTAGAATGGTGGCTCCTAGGAGTTAGGAGGTGGGAGAAATGGAAGATGTTGGTTAAAGGGTACAACTTCCAGTTATAAAATGAACTAGAGGGCCCAGTGCACATAAATTTGTGCACTCAGGGGGGAAGGTCCCTCAGCCCGGCCTGCGGCCATTCACAGTCCAGGACCCCTTGGGGGATGTCCATCTGTCGACTTAGGCCCACTCCCCGAGGGATCAGGCCTAAGCTTGCAGTCAGACATCCTTCTTGCAGCCAGGGAGCCCTCGGGGGATGTCCGACTAAAGGCTTAGGCCCCCAAGGGATCGGGTCTAAACCGTTAGTTGGACATTCTTAGTGTTGCCAAGGAAGTGGGAGAGGCTCCTGCCACCACTTCTGCACTGGCCAGCCATGAGCCAGCTTTTGGCTGAGTGGCACTCCCCATATGGAAGTGCACTGACCACAAGGGGCAGCTCCTGCATTGAGTGTCTGCGCCCTGGTGGCCAGTGCACATGATAGCAACCGGTCATTCTGCCATTCAGTCAAGGTGCATGTTAGCCTTTTATTATTATTATATAGGATGTCCCTATTTCCCCCCATTTGCCCCTCCACCCAGCTCTTGCCCCCTACTTCTCTCTGGCCATCACCATACTGTTGTCTGTGTCCATGGGTTGTGCATATATTTTCTTTGGCTAATCCCTTCTTTAAATTCACTTCTTTAAAATTTTATTTTCAGATAAGTGCTTATAACTGCACTATTATATATTTTCTATTATTTCATTTAGAATTAAGATTTTTTTAATTGAACCATTGTAAATTTTAGCACAATTTAATAAATTATGCTAGAAGCAATTAGGAGGTTTTTCATGTAATGCATACATATTTCAATTAATATTTTATTAATTTTTAGTTTTTTAATAATTTAATTTGAAATAATCTCATACATGTAAAAAAAAACTATAAAATACTACAGCATATTATATGTACCCTTCACCCAATTTCATAGGTGTTAATACTTTAAACATAACCATTATACAACTAAGAAACAAAATTTGGAATATATTTTTCTTATAATCTCTTTAATGTTACTTAATCCATTTACTTTGTTTTTGTTAATCTTCACCCAAGGATAGTTTTCCATTGAATTTTAGAGAGAGTGAAGGGAAAGGGAGAGACATATTGATTGGTTGCCTACTGCACATGCTTTGATAGGGACTGGGGATCAAGCCAGCAACTGAGGTACATGTCCTTGACTGGAATCAAACCTGGGACCCTTCAGTCCATCGGCTAATGCTCTATCCACTGAGCACAACAGGCTGCAGCTTAATTCATTTACTTTTAATCTATATGTTTCTTTATATTTAAAGTGGTGGGGTTTTTTTTGATTCATCCTCATAATCTGTCTTTTAATTGGTGCATTTATGCCCCTGACTTTCAGAGTTACTACCATATCAGGCGGCTTCTGGGGCTTCTGGGGCGGGCATGCCTTGCTGCGCTGGGACCCGCCAATGATGGGGTCCTGGGGCGGCAAGGCATGGCTGGCTGCTGGGGCTTCTGGAGTGGGCCTGCCCTGGATGGCTACATGCTGGCGGTTCACTCTGTCCCGCCCTGCCTGCAGTATGCAAGTTAGCTGCTATCTTTGTTGGTGGTTAATTTTCATATCACACTGATTAGCCAATGGGAGGCATAGCGAAGGTGTGGTCAATTACCATGTTTGTCTATTATTAGATAGGATAAGTTATGGGCATCTGAAGTACCAAATGGTGAGTATATATTATATATTATATACTGTATTATATACTTAAATTAGATCTTAAATTATGTCACCATTTCAAAAAAATTTAATTATGTGAGGTGGTGGATGTATTAACCTCAATGAAGCAAGTATTTTACAATGTTACATATAGCAAATCATCACATTGTACATCTTAAATTTACAGAATAAGTTAATTATATCTTAATAACACTGGAAGGTAAAAAAAATCAAATCCAAAAAAATTTTTTAAAACAGAACAGAAAGCCATAATACAATATCTAAAATTATTTTTAAAATCATTTTAAAATATAGAAAAATAAATTTAACTGGATTTAAAATATCTCAAAAAATAATAAAATAAAAAGGACTTGATATATCAGAAAAACAACCCTCATTCAAGTCTAGAATAATATTTCTCAGTCTCAAATCTGGTCACAATTTTTTAAAAAGTACAACATGTATTCAATCCTCTGTGTCTGTTGGTTTTGCATCTACAAATTTAACCAACCATGATCAAAAACAGTATTTTCAATCAGCTGTATACTTTTTACTATATCATTTTGCATAAGGGACTTATCAATTCTCAGATTTTGTTACCTGTAGAGGGTGCTTGAACCAATCTCCCATGTATACCAAGGGACAACTGTGCTTACAAATTTTATAAATTCTGAAAATTTTACTTTAAAATATCACATGTTCTTGGCTATAGAGGTAATGAAGAAGGTGAAAAAAATTTAATAATTATAAGGCATCAAAGCTTAACAAGGTTTATAATCATCAAATTATCAATCTAGAGTTGTCACTAAACAAAGAAATACACTTACCAAATTGAAATATTTATGAGAATCATTTCATCATTTCAGAACAGTGTAACCAGAACATTGTAGCTAGACAAAATTTTCTCTGAAAAGTTGTCATAATCATAGAAATGAAGATGTCATTTAATAATAGACAAAATAATTCATAATTACTCTTTTAAAATGTTAATAACTTATACTATAGTAATTCAATTTTATTCTAAGTTTCCCTTTGCCACAAGATCAGAGTGCAAAAAAATACAAGCCAAGCTTCTAAAGGTCTCACCGCATTGTAACCTGAAGTGAATTTAAAACTAAATAAGAATATGGCCTCAAGGCAATCTAAGTATATTTTTCTTAATGCTTATACTGCTTTTTAAATACTTCATCTATGGTTATCTTGATTGAAATGAAGATTATTTCCAAATAAATAAATTTCCGTATCTAGACATTGAAATGTAAAATATACAAGAAGATAGGAGTGGAAACAGGATAGACATGTTTGTCTCAGAAGGTATCAATTGGAAAGAGAATAAAGGATATAATGAATTATACTAAGGAAAAGAAAATACCACATAACTGTCAATATGTGACTCAAACTCAAGGAATTTAAAGTAGATAAGAGAACTGAAGAAAAGAAAATGCCTTTTTCACTACAAGCTACATATAGAGAAAATATATATGTCTGTATACTTTACCCTTGTCAACAGGGTTTAGTTTAAATAGGATATTTTGAGTAATTATTTCAATCACACACTTATTTTACATCAAAATAAGTATATACTATACACTCTGGATTGAATGAAAATAACAAGTAATTTTAAACCAGTCATTTTTATTATTCATTTTCCAACCTGCAGGCCACATCTTGGGGTTTCCTTTCATTTCCCTGTTCACAAACCACCTTCCAAATGACTACCATCTTTTAAAGTATGTAGTTCCAGAACCCCCTAGCCTCTGATAGCTAGCTTAGTTAAGATTTCACTATAGCTGTGGAAGAGGCCGCTCCTTTAGTTCTATATGGTTGACACTCTATATTTCAATAGTAGAAACCTATTCAGGAACAACAGGCAATGGAAAAGGCCCTTCAAATTTTGGATTGTCTTTTAAAGTTACTAATTCCGGAACATCTATTGTTATGGAAGATTGAAATTCAGTAGATACACTCTCTACCAGAGCCTCATCTGCAGAAGGTGTTGTAGATGGTGGAGACTGAACTTCATCAATGGAGTGTTTTGAAGAGATATTTGAAATATTGGCCTCTTCAGAAGATGAAAGTTTTGTAGCAACAGAGACCATTTCTGAAGTCGTTTCTTCAGTTGGTGGACGATGAAGTTCAGCAGCGATCTTTTCAGTTGGGGCGTGCTCAGCTGATAGAGACTTAATTTTCACTGGAACCTCTTCTGCAGAGGCCACTTCAGCTGGTGGAGACTTAACTTTCACTGGGGCCTCTTCTGCAGGGACCTTCTCAGCTGGTGGAGATTGAACTTTCCCTGGGACCTCTTCTGCAGAGGCCGCCTCAGCTGGTGGAGACTTAACTTTCACTGGGGCCTCTTCTGCAGGGACTTTCTCAGTAGGTGGAGACTTAACATTCACTGGGGGCTCTTCTGCAGAGGCCGCCTCAGCTGGTGGAGACTTAACTTTATCTGGAGACTCTTGTGCAGGGACCTTCTCAGCTGGTGGAGACTTAACTTTCACTGGGGCCTCTTCTGCAGAGGCCGCCTCAGCTGATGGAGACTTAATTTTCTCTGGAGCCTCTTCTGCAGGGACCTTCTCACCTGGTGGAGACTTAACTTTCACTGGGGCCTCTTCTGCAGAGGCCGCCTCAGCTGAAGGAGACTTAATTTTCTCTGGAGCCTCTTCTGCAGGGACCTTCTCACCTGGTGGAGACTTAACTTTCACTGGGGCCTCTTCTGCAGAGGCCGCCTCAGCTGATGGAGACTTAACTTTCACAAGGGCCTCTTCTACAGAGGCCGCTTCAGCTGGTGGAGACTTAACTTTCAATGGGGCCTCTTCTGCAGAGACCTTCTCAGCTGGTGGAGACTTAACTTTCACTGCGGCCTCTTCTGCAGAGGCTGCCTCAGCTGGTGGAAACTTAACTTTCACTGGTGCCTCTTCCGCAGAGGCTGACTCAGCTGGTGGAGACTTAACTTTCACTGGAGCCTCTTCCGCAGAGGCCACCTCAGCTGGTGGAGACTTAACTTTCACTGGGGCCTCTTCTGCAGAAGCCTTCTCTGTTGGTGGAGACTTAACTTTCACTGGGGCCTCTTCCGCAGAGGCCTTCTCACCTGGTGGAGACTTAACTTTCACTTTGGCCTCTTCTGCAGAGGCCCTCTCAGCTGGTGGAGACTTAACTTTCACTGGGGGCTCTTCTGCAGAGACCTTCTCAACTGGTGGAGACTTAACTTTCACTGGGGCCTCTTCTGCAGAGGCTGCCTCAGCTGGTGGAGACTTAACTTTCACTGGGGCCTCTTCTACAGAGGCCGCTTCAGCTGATGGAGACTTCACTTTCACTGGGGCCTCTTCTGCAGAGGCCACCTCAGCTGGTGGAGACTTAACTTTCACTGGGGCCTCTTCCGCAGAGGCTGCCTCAGCTGGTGGAGACTTAACTTTCACTGGGGCCTCTTCTGCAGAGGCTGCCTCAGCTGGTGGAGACTTAACTTTCACTGGGGCCTCTTCCGCAGAGGCCTTCTCACCTGGTGGAGACTTAACTTTCACTGGGGCCTCTTCCACAGAGGCTGCCTCAGCTGGTGGAGACTTAACTTTCACTGGGGCCTCTTCTGCAGAGACCTTCTCAGTAGGTGGAGACTTAACTTTCACTTTGGCCTCTTCTGCAGAGACCTTCTCAGCTGGTGGAGACTTAACTTTCACTGGGGCCTCTTCTGCAGAGACCTTCTCACCTGGTGGAGACTTAACTTTCACTGGGGCCTCTTCCGCAGAGGCTGCCTCAGCTGGTGGAGACTTAACTTTCACTGGGGCCTCTTCTGCAGAGACTTTCTCAGCTGGTGGAGACTTAATTTTCACTGGGGGCTCTTCTGCAGAGGCCGCCTCAGCTGGTGGAGACTTAACTTTCACTGGGGCCTCTTCCGCAGAGGCCTTCTCAGCTGGTGGAGACTTAACTTTCACTGGGGCCTCTTCTACAGAGGCCACCTCAGCTGGTGGAGACTTAACTTTCACTGGGGCCTCTTCTGCAGAGACCTTCTCACCTGGTGGAGACTTAACTTTCACTGGGGACTCTTCTGCAGAGGCCTTCTCACCTGGTGGAGACTTAACTTTCACTGGGGCCTCTTCTGCAGGGACCTTCTCAGCTGGTGGAGACTTAACTTTCACTGGGGCCTCTTCTGCAGAGACCTTCTCACCTGGTGGAGACTTAACTTTCACTGGGGCCTCTTCCGCAGAGGCTGCCTCAGCTGGTGGAGACTTAACTTTCACTGGGGCCTCTTCTGCAGAGGCTGCCTCAGCTGGTGGAGACTTAACTTTCACTGGGGCCTCTTCCGCAGAGGCCACCTCAGCTGGTGGAGACTTAACTTTCACCGGGGCCTCTTCTGGTGCCTCTTCTGCAGAGACCTTCTCAGCTGGTGGAGACTTAACTTTCACTGGGGCCTCTTCTGCAGAGACCTTCTCAGCTGGTGGAGACTTAACTTTCACTGGGGCCTCTTCTGCAGAGGCCTTCTCACCTGGTGGAGACTTAACTTTCACTGGGGCCTCTTCTGCAGAGGCTGCCTCAGCTGGTGGAGACTTAACTTTCACTGGGGCCTCTTCTGCAGAGGCCTTCTCAGCTGGTGGAGACTTAACTTTCACTGGGGCCTCTTCTGCAGAGGCCTTCTCAGCTGGTGGAGACTTAACTTTCACTGGGGCCTCTTCCACAGAGGCCACCTCAGCTGGTGGAGACTTAACTTTCACCGGGGCATCTTCTGCAGAGGCCTTCTCAGCTGGTGGAGACTTAACTTTCACTGAGGCCTCTTCTGGTGCCTCTTCTGCAGAGACCTTCTCAGCTGGTGGAGACTTAACTTTCACTGGGGCCTCTTCCTCAGAGACCTTCTCAGCTGGTGGAGACTTAACTTTCACTGGGGCCTCTTCCTCAGAGACCTTCTCAGCTGGTGGAGACTTAACTTTCACTGGGGCCTCTTCTGCTGAGACCTTCTCAGCTGGTGGAGACTTCACTTTCACTGGGGCCTCTTCCGCAGAGACCTTCTCTGCTGGTGGAGACTTAACTTTCACTGGGGCCTCTTCCGCAGAGACCTTCTCTGCTGGTGGAGACTTAACTTTCACTGGGGCCTCTTCTGCAGAGACCTTCTCAGCTGGTGGAGACTTAACTTTCACTGGGGCCTCTTCTGCGGAGACCTTCTCAGCTGGTGGAGACTTAACTTTCACTGGGGCCTCTTCTGCAGAGACCTTCTCAGCTGGTGGAGACTTAACTTTCACTGGGGCCTCTTCCGCAGAGACCTTCTCTGCTGGTGGAGACTTAACTTTCACTGGGGCCTCTTCCGCAGAGACCTTCTCTGCTGGTGGAGACTTAACTTTCACTGGGGCCTCTTCCGCAGAGACCTTCTCTGCTGGTGGAGACTTAACTTTCACTGGGGCCTCTTCTGCAGAGACCTTCTCAACTGTTGGAGACTTAACTTTCACTTTGGCCTCTTCCGCAGAGACCTTCTCAGCTGGTGGAGACTTAACTTTCACTGGGGCCTCTTCTGCAGAGACCTTCTCAGCTGGTGGAGACTTATCTTTCACTGGGGCCTCTTCTGCGGAGACCTTCTCAGCTGGTGGAGACTTAACTTTCACTGGGGCCTCTTCTGCAGAGACCTTCTCAGCTGGTGGAGACTTAACTTTCACTGGGGCCTCTTCTGCAGAGGCCTTCTCAGCTGGTGGAGACTTAACTTTCACTGGGGCCTCTTCTGCAGAGACCTTCTCACCTGGTGGAGACTTAACTTTCACTGGGGCCTCTTCCGCAGAGACCTTCTCAGCTGGTGGAGACTTAACTTTCACTGGGGCCTCTTCTGCAGAGACCTTCTCAGCTGGTGGAGACTTAACTTTCACTGGGCCCTCTTCTGCAGACACCTTCTCAGTAGGTGGAGACTTAACTTTCACTTTGGCCTCTTCTGCAGAGACCTTCTCAGCTGGTGGAGACTTAACTTTCACTGGGGCCTCTTCTGCAGAGACCTTCTCAACTGGTGGAGACTTAACTTTCACTTTGGCCTCTTCTGCAGAGGCCTTCTCAGCTGGTGGAGACTTAACTTTCACTGGGGCCTCTTTTGCAGAGACCTTCTCAGCTGGTGGAGACTTAACTTTCACTGGGGCCTCTTCTGCAGAGACCTTCTCACCTGGTGGAGACTTAACTTTCACTGGGGCCTCTTCTGCAGGGACCTTCTCAGCTGGTGGAGACTTAATTTTCACTGGTGCCTCTTCTGCAGGAACCTTCTCAGCTGGTGGAGACTTAACTTTCACTGGGGCCTCTTCCGCAGAGACCTTCTCAACTGGTGGAGACTTAACTTTCACTTTGGCCTCTTCTGCAGAGGCCTTCTCAGCTGATGGAGACTTAACTTTCACTGGGGCCTCTTCTGCAGAGACCTTCTCAGCTGGTGGAGACTTAACTTTCACTGGGGCCTCTTCTGCAGGGACCTTCTCAGCTGGTGGAGACTTAATTTTCACTGGTGCCTCTTCTGCAGGAACCTTCTCAGCTGGTGGAGATTTAACTTTCACTGGGGTCTCTTCTGCAGGAAACTTCTCAGTTGGTGGAGACTTAACTTTCACTGGGGCCTTTTCTGCAGGGGCCCTCTCAGCTCGTGGAGACTCAATTTTCACTGGGGCCTCTTCTGCAGCGGCCTCCTCAGCTGGTGGAGATTGCACTTCAGCAGAGATCTTTTCTACTGTTGCAGGCCTTACTTCAACTACATAGTCATGCTCATATAAAAGTATTGGAGTGTCTTCTTTGATCTGTTGACTAAATGAAGATCTGTTGGTACTTTTCTTCCTAATTTCCTCATTGCTACTTGTTGCAGGTTGAAATTCAGGATGCTCAGTAATTAAAGTCTTCCCTGAGGATTTACGTTTCTGCACAGCATCATTTGACTTTGAAAAAGAACTACTTGGCCTGCCAGTAACTATTTTCGTTTCACCAAAGCTCTTCTGTTCTTTGTCTTCATCTCCAGTATGAGTGGTTTGATCAGATCCATCTAATTTTTGTTGACCTGAGTGTTTGCTTGATGGAATTTCTGCTCCATGAACACTCTCTGGAAACTCAGCAGCTGCTTCTCCAACAGCCGCTGGTTTTTCTTTAGGTACCACTGTGGCATCACCTGGCTTGGGTTCCTTTATCTCTTCAGGAATAATGTCTGTCTGCAAACATTTATCAACCTTATCTTGCCCACGCTTTCTCTTTGTCCAAGTTTGCTGAAGCTGAGAAGATAATCTAAGAGACTCATAGTTGACTCTGCTTTCAGGAATATTACTAATATTAAGGTTAGCTTTGGGGCCACAGGGTTGTGGTATAGGCAAGAGACATTTTATCTCTGATATGTCAGTCTGTTGGGATTTGTCTACCATTGGTTGGCTAGGTCTTCTTTTCTTTCGAATTTCTTGCCTCCCTGCTGAGATAGGCTGATCAGGTTCATCACTTCCTTCCATATTTAAAACTGCTGAATTTGAAATTTACTAACAGCAGGAATCACAATGTACCAAATGGTTAAGTTAAGCCTTTACTTTCCTTCATTAAGTGTTATTCGGTTGAGCTCTTTCAGAAAAAAAAGTAATTTATAAATTACCGAATTCTGCATTACACTTTTTGGACCCCACCTTACTCAGTAAGCATCTTTCTTATTTAGTCTCTACTGTGACTAAATTTCACTTCTAGAAGTTTTCCTCAAGTGTCTATGACATCATAGGCAATTCTCACTACAATGTTCCATCTATGGTATTCCCAGCACTTTTTAACTTGGTAAACACTCATGGGAAATGGCTGCAAGTGAGAGATCTACTTTTGAAACATCAAGTTGAAAAAGAATCTGTCTATCATGGGAACATAAGTAAACTCTAGTAATGCTGCTGTCTAATAACTAAAATTGATGCTTTTGAACTTTCAATTCTGTTCTTTTCATCCTACTATCAAAGACAGTTAAATTGCAGAATTCACGATGCTGCAGGTTATTTTCAATTGTTGGAGAAAACAACTAACAGATATTTGACAATATTCAATCAATGTATGATTTTGTGGTTTGAAAGTTAATATTGTTTGAAAAATTTGAGTTCTGAGGACCATATCCTTGTAAACGCCTTTCTTATGTCTTTAACATTCAGCAACACAAGAATATATATCTATATATATCTATAGATAGATAGATAGATAGATAGATAAATATTCTTCTACTCCATTGTGATATATATATATATATATATATATATATATATATATATATGTGTGTGTGTATATATATATATATATAGTATGCCATGCTAGATATTTTTGTTTTCAACTATTTCAGAAAATAGTTTCAAAGTTTGCCAAATAAATAATGTTGTGTCTAAAGATAAATCAAGTGAAAAAATAATGTATTTTAATGTAATCACTACATATTCTGCTTAACCACATAGAAATGAATTCCCCAATGAAAATTAAAAATTTAAATTGAAGCTTTGAAAAACAGAAACCCCATTTAGCAAACTGCAAATGGCACTATATTCTATTTGGAATATAAATAAAACTTTAACTTATATGTGGCAAAAATTTTACTAGAAAGATGAACATTGGTCAAAAGATGTACAAAAACATATTCCTTTAGTCTAAAGAAAGTTCAAGAGGAGAAAATAGACTTTGAAAATATAGTATAATCAAAAGAGAAAAGGTAATAAACATATTTAAACAATCATTATGACTTCATTAACCTGAAAATATTTTTTTTAAATGGTGGCTCAGTTGGTTGGAGCATTGTGCTGTATACCAAAAAGATGGAAGGTTTGATTTCTGGTGAAGGCACATACCTAGGTATGGATTTGATACCCAGGCAGGGGCATTTGGTTGGCAACCGATCAATGTTTTTCTCTTACATCAATGTTCTTTCTTTCTCTCTCTCTCTCTCTGTTCAAGAAAAAAAAAATCAATAAACATGTCCTATCCTGAGGATTTAAAAAATGTTAATGCTGTATTGCCTCTAGGAAATATAAAAGTATCATTGAATAATTCCCTTTATTTGATACACATTAGTCATAACTATAGCTAGGTTATCTTAGCCAAATAAATGAGGACTTTCCACATTTTTTGACCCAGCCCCTAAAACACTCTCTGTCTCTTGGAAGGGATCAGTGAATATTTGTTCAGTGTCATCATTGGAGGAAAATTATTAGATCGAAGGAACCATTGTTTCAAAAAATTCTGACTGCTTGTCTTTTTTCCCCTTTCTATATTGATTAAGGTATTACATATGTGTCCTTATCCCCCCATTGCCCGCTCCCTGACTGCTTGTCTTTTATCTCAACTACTTCTGCTCTCATTTTTGTCTATTCTACTTCATTGTGTTATATCTTTCAAATAGTCATTTATAATTGAATTGACATAGGTTTTAATAGTATCTGATACAGTTTGAAAACTAGATTATTTATCATCCTCTTTGTGTCTAGTATTCCTTGCAATTGCATCTGTAAAATATTGCATGTGTATTTTATACTCAAGTTTCTGACATTTTATTTAGTATCTTCAGTGTCTATTTTGGGCCCATTTATAACAAGAAATAAGTGTCAAAAAGGGATTATGATAATTGAGTTAATATAACTGCATGTATCAGACTAATTTTGCTGCCACAACTTAAATAAAATTTTACCAAATTTTCCAGAGACATTTAACTGAATTTCTAATTTAGTTAAATTAGCAATTTCCTATTCTTTAATATCTATATTTTTTTCATCCAGGAAAGAATGAAAAGCTTGATCTTTCTTTCTTTTTTTCTGTTTCTTTTTTTTAATTAAATCTTTATTGTTCAGATTATTACATTAGTTACTCTTTTTTCCCACCATAACTCCCCTCCACCCAGTTCCCACCCCACCCTCCGCCCTCACTTCCCACCCACTGTCCTCATCCATAGGTGCACGATTATTGTCCAATCTCTTCCCTCACCCCACACCTCTCCCCCCCCCCCCAAGAATAGTCCATTCCCTTTCTATGTCCCTGATTCTATTACAATAACCAGTTCATACTGTTCATCAGGTTATTTATTCCCTTGATTTTTAGATTCACTTGTTAATAGATGTGTATTTGTTGTTCATAATTTGTATCTTTACCTTTTTCTTCTTCTTCCTCTTCTTAAAGGATACCTTTCAGCATTTCATATAATACTGGTTCGGTGGTGATGAACTCCTTTAGCTTTTTCTTATCTGTGAAGCTCTTTATCTGGCCTTCACTTCTGAATGATAGTTTTGCTGGATAAAGTAGTCTTGGTTGTAGGTTCTTGGTATTCATCACTTTGAATATTTCTTGCCACTCCCTTCTGGCCTGCATAGTTTCTGTTGAGAAATCAGCTGACAGTCATATGGGTATTCCCTTGTAGGTAACTGAGTTTCTTTCTCTTGCTGCTTTTAGGATTCTCTCTTTGTCTTTTGCTCTTGGCATTTTAATTATGATGTGTCTTGGTGTGGTCCTCTTTGGGTTCCTTTTGTTTGGGGTTCTCTGCACTTCCTGGACTTGTAAGTCTATTTCTTCCACCAGGTGGGGGAAGTTTTCTGTCATTATTTCTTCAAATAGGTTTTCAATATCTTGCTCTCTCTCTTCTTCTGGTACCCCTATAATTCGGATGTTGGTACGCTTGAAGCTGTCCCAGAGGCTCCTTACACTATCTTCATATTTTTCGATTCTTTTTTCATTTTGCTTTTCCGGTTGGGTGTTTTTTGTTTCTTCGTATTTCAAATCTTTGACTTGATTCTTGCGATCCTCTGGTCTGTTGTTGGGGGTCTGTATAATGTTCTTTATTTCAGTCAGTGTATGCTTAATTTCTAGTTGGTCCTTTATCACAACATCGAGGATCTCATTAGATTTCTTGAGGATCTCACTACATTTATCGGCGGTCTCACCAGTCTTTTCAAGGGCCTTATTAAGTTTATCGGTGGCTTTTAGACAGTTCTTTAAAGACCTTAAAAGTGTGGTTTTGAACTCTATATCCAGCAGTTTGCTTTCCTCACATTCTGTCGTTTGTGTCCTGTTTCTTTGTCTCGGCATTTTTTATGCTTCGCTGTGTCGATAGAGTTCCTTTCTGTGCTAAGTGTCCCAATTACCTGAGGTAGACACTCATGGTGCACCCCCTTGTGGGCTTTGTGCACAGTCTTGTTGTAATTAAGCCTTGATTGTTGTAGTTATCACTGTGAGGAATTGACCTCCAGGCCAATTGGCTGTGAGAATCAGCTGTGTCTGCAGTGGGAGAACTTCTGTGCTGGAGACACCCCTCTGGGGCTAGACTTGCTTCAATGGGGCTTTGGTGCTCACTGAGTCTTCCCCCTGAGTGTGTCTTTTATTGTTCCACAGAGCTGCAAACTGGATGGTCCCACTCTGACCTCTGGGCTTCCTGGCTCCTGGATCTCTAGGGAGGTGCTAATCTAGCCTTTGCCTGAGGCTATCCAGCAAAAGTCTCCCTGCAGGGCTTGGGCGGGGTGTGTCCCACAGGATCAACAGGGTGGGGTTAGCAATTATGGCTGCTCTCAGTCTTGCCCTCAGAGGCTCTGCTTCTCAGTGTCCCAGTAATTGCTGCAAGCCCCACGGAGAGAAAGCTGCCCTAGGGTTCTGAGCGATGCCAGACAGGCCCGCTTCTCCTGTATGAGTCTGGGTCCCTAGAGGCTCGCCCGGAGCTGGAGCCCAGAGTCTGAGACTCCCTCCCGATTTAAAACAACAACCATGCCCTCAGCCGCCAGCCCGCTCTGCATGCACTCCACACCTTAGTATTTTACTTCAGCACTGCGCCTCCTCTGAGTCTTGGTATGTTTTACTCTTTCCTCCTAGTTGTAGAACTTCCACTCAGCCAGCCTTCCCGTGGTTCTGGATGATGTCCGTTCCGTCTTTTAGTTGTATTTTTGAAGTGGTTTTTCGAGGCAGCAAACTCCGGTGTTTACTTATGCCGCCATCTTGGTTTCTCCCTGATCTTTCTTAATTATACACCAAGCTATCATAGTAAGCTGCCTTTTGCACTAGCTTATTTATAAAAGCAAATTTGCACACCTAAATAATCTGTTAAAATTTACTTGAGATTTCAAATAGAATTATGAAGGATTTCATGTAGCAGTTTCTCATCATATCTTTTAACATTCACAAATGCTCCTTTTGCCCTGATGATCTACCTAACCAACTAATCATTAATCTATGTTGTCAATTTAGGGTTTGATGTTTTACCCCTTGTTCTGGCAACCTCTCATAATTCAGCTCTCTCCACTTCATTTGGTTCACATCTTGAATTGTGTAGCCCAAAAAGATAAGTCCTAATCTCCTGCTAATGTGACTTTATTTGGAAAGAGTCTTTCTGGATATAATCAAGTTAAGATGGTACCATTATAAAAAGAAGAAAATTTTACTACAAAAAGACACAGAGGGAATATGGCCATGTGAAGATGAGGACAGAGATTAGAGTTATGCTTCAATAAAACAATTAACACCCAGA